TTTAGATGAATTTGAAAACTTAGGAGTGACCAGAAAAATTTTCAAAGGAAAGTAGCTTCACAACAGATGGAACATCTATGTCAGAAACCTGAGGTAACACTTTGTCGTAAAGTGAAACATCGATATAACTGGAAAACGGGATTGTGCTTGAACACCTGACATAGGGAAGCCATGTTAAACTGAGCCTGCTGAGAACGAGAGGCAGTGTGAGAGCATATCTAGCATCTCTTTGCGGTTTGGATAATTTAGTCCAAATACGTTAAATCATCATACAAGCGCGTGCAGCCGTAATACCTGCATGTATGTTTGATTTGCACCATCAAAGTTTGAAGGCCATGCAGTACGTCTTAAAAATACACGACATTACTACTCACTATGTTAGTGTGCTGTAACCGTCTTATGCCGTCCTTCCACGATATGTACGATAAAGTTAGAATACTTTGCTAGCACCAGACATTCCTCATGCCAGGACAGATGACTCAACAGTTTCGATTGCTTAAAAGGTATACACATATTGTCATATCGTAGCAACTCTCACGAGATGTTACCATTATGCATCATTCCTAACTGTGACCATGATATGCTTACTCTCGCTCTCATACTCATGAATCAAGCCTCCTGTAACTGGTATTAACCATGGGATTGCGTCACTGTTGCTAGTGTCAAGTTTATAACAGTAGAAATGAAATAAGTAATGAGGAACTGTTTCAAATCGAAAATGTTTATTCAACCGCATTTCAAGCAGCAACGCCAGAAGTCCCTTCGGCTTACTAAATTCGCCGTACAAACGATTAGATTAACGATAGGAGGATTAGTCTGGTTAACTCGACTGATGTCTAAAGCAGACGGTTATTCTAGACCACCCTTTTGTGACCTTCATTTTTTCTCAACGAAAATTATTCACTCAGAGTTCAACTCTTCCCTTTCTTAACCCTTTTCATCCTGCAGCCCTTCTAGCAATATGGCTAAGCGAAAAACCCCAGATCTCTTTTTTTCTGCAGTAAAAGATGCCTCCAGCGGCACATGCAAAAAAAAATTCATGAAGTTGGCATTGTTCAGTCATTGTAGAAATCAATCAGAGAATTAAGTGCAACAGTAGTGCTAAATTTTGATTCTTGTATTGATTTGGGATAGAAATGAGCCTTTTATTGAAACATTTGCATTTAAACTGTGCAAAATATGGTCATCCTCATATGTTGCCAACTTCTACTTCTTTTTCCAACTGGCATTAATTCCGCGCCGTTGGGAGTCTCGCTACTCTTATCAGTCTCCACTTCCTACTTTCTACAGCATCTTCTGCCGTGATTCAGCTTCTCCGGGGCCCTTCTTGTTCACGTCCTAACACCTCTTTTGTGGGCTCTTTGTGGGCACTTCCCTTTATCTCGAATTCCATTGCTTCCCTTACTGGGTGATTTGATGGCTTTCTCAGAACGTGACCATACCACCTCATCCTCCGTAGACGCTCTCTCATCATCCGCACACGCTGCTCTCTCATCTTCAGCTAGACTGCGGCTGTTTGCATAACGGCCCTGACGTCTTCATTTCTGGTCCCACCTAGTGCCGTACAACCGCAGGACCATCTGAGCATTCTCACTTCAGCGGAGTGGAGCTGTGTTTCATGGTTTTTACCTACGGGCCAACACTCCCTGCCCAAGAGCATCGTGAAAATCATCGCTGTCCAATACACTTTTTCTTTGAGCGTTCTGGAGTACCGAAGGTCACAGAGGATATCGGTTATCTCCCTCCATCCCATCCATGACGTGTTTATCAAGTATTTTACAGTGTGGTCCACGCTATCATTTTCCGAAACCATCGACACATGACTACGTGCACTTCTCAGAGCTGAAAAACATGGACTACTTCACGTTCAGCCCATTCTCCGTGAACAATTTTTGCCTTTTCTGCAGCTTGTTTTGGGGTTCTTCTCTGCTTCTCGCTATCACTTCTATTACTGTTTTTGGCTAGTGTATGTTTTTGGCTAGTGTATGCCCACGTGGTAGCTTGTCAGGCTCTGACGTGGGGCCTTGCTGGGTCGACTTCTGGGGTTTGCCAGTCTACCCGAAGCTTGGACGAGGGGCTTTGCTTCAGTTGCGGTCCCGAATCGCCTCCCACATACTTCCCAGTCACTCGAATGTGAGCTTTTGTCTGAGTCGATGGGCAGGATACCAACTGCACCCATAGACTCTCCATACACGTATGCGTGGATACTTTTGGGAAAAACAGAAGGTATAACGATCAGCACAGCAGAATGAAGGAGTCCACCCCTGAATACTCTTGCATTTCTGTGCAAGTACTGGTGACTTTTGGTTCGTTCCCCGATCCGCCACCTCACTATGTAGCCTCGCCACTAACCGGCTGGGCATCTTTCAGTGAAAGAGAACCCTCGATGAAGGAGATCCGTAGAACAGTAATAGAAATGGACCTCATTTCCCTGAACCTGAGGGAGCCTCAATACGGCAGCGTTGGGTAGGAGATGCTCGGGAGATGCTGCTAAAATCTCAGGACAAAGCAGACTGCCCAAAAGGAGAAGCACTAAGATGGTGATCTGTACTTTCAACGCACAGTCGCTTGCATGGGAAGCGTGTATAGAAGACCTGATGATGCAAGCTAGGAAGATCAAGTACGACGTCGTCGGACTGACCGAGACGAGAAGGCATCGCCCACTGCACGCTGAATTTGAGACTGGAAAAGAACTGTTTCTCGGATAATGCGACAGCAGGGGCGTCGGCGGCGTGGGTGTCGCCAATACGCACTTGGCCATCCTAACAGCCCGAATTGGACGTTAACGACTAAAAAGATGTGGCTTAACCCCAGCTCTAACCATCTTCATAGCCTACGCACCCATTGTCTAGCCACGGAGAAGAGGAGTTTGAAGCATTTTATATGGACTTAGAGAGGCTCTACAGAGAAGACCACAACCTTCTTCAAGGTCATCGTCGGGGATTTCAACGTCAAGATTGGCCTCAGAAGAACGGCTGAGGAGCTCCAACTCATGGAATGGAATTGAATGAGAAGCGTGGAAGGCTGTCCGAGTTTATCATGTTGACCCACATCATCCATGCTAACTAACAGTTCTACAAGCCCTTTCATTCTCGGTGGACATGAGAATCTCCTGACGGACAGCTCCATCATAAAATAGACCACATTATCTTCAATCGGAGTTTTTGCCTGACTGACGTCGCTGTTGTTTCAAAGTTCTACAGGGAATCGGACCATCGTTTCCTCCGCGCTAGGTTCTGCTTCTCAGTGCGTGTGGCCAGAGCTGCGCAGTTCAGGAAACGAGGCCCCAAGACTGTTGTCAACTGGGACCACATCAGTTCCCTTGCGAGTGAATGGAAAGATTCCGTTATCGACAACGTCGATGAAGAATGCAACCGTCTTGTCAGACATCTTCGCGATAGCGTTAGAAAAGCAGAGAGTCAAGAAGCAGCCGAGAAACGACCCTCTTCGAAAACTCTCAAGCTGATACACCAGCATTGAATCGCACAGGCAATCATCAACAAATGTCCGAACTTACGAAGCTTTACAGAGAAGCGATAAAGGAAGATCTGAGAGAGTGAAAAGCAGCAGTTATGGACGATGCCGCCGAGGTTGGAAAGTCCACCCGCAAAGCCCGGCGGAGCTCGCCAATTACAAGACCGAGATGATTTCCCTTCGTTATCCTGACGAAACAATTACTGCATCCCGAATGGCAATGGAAAGGGTCATCTACGACTTCTACTCGGATCTCTTCGACAGCCATGTCTTCCTGCCTATCCACCATCGTAGGCAAGAAAAATATATCGCTCCTTCGGTCCTTTCTGACATGCCATCAAGTTGACGAAGAAGTGTACGGCGCCCGGTCCCCATAGGAACAAAGCAGAACATCTGAAGAATCTTCCACCAGTTATCGTCGGAACTCTGGCTAGGCTCTTCACGCGGTAACTGTCGGGATGCAAAGTTCCCACGTCGTGGAAAACTAGTAAGACTGTGTTGCTGTATAAAAAGGGAGATCCAGACGATATCGGCAATTATCGCCCAATCTGGCTGCTGTCTGTAATCTACAAGCTATTCACTCGCGTCATCCTAAACATATTAGAATATTAGAGTTTCGCAGGGTTCCGGAGAGGGTCCAGTATAATCGATTATATCCGCTTTCTCGCAAGTCTCATTGAAGTATCGCGGGTATGCGATCGTGTGGTTCACAATTCACGGTACCTCAAACTTGGGTAATTAAATCTTTAATAACAACATATACACAATACAAGCAAAAGATATACATATAAACCAAGACACATAGGGGGCTTATATACGGAGCATTTTCTCTATTCGAAGCGATAGTCAAAATAATGTATGACAAAACAATGGAGCTGTCAAAACATTTGTTTCTTCTACGAAACAAAACAACGGCAATTTCTGTAGCAGTACTATGTATCTGCTATAGCGGGAGTACAAAATGCCGTTATGTGTCATCGATTTAAGGAAAGCCTTTGACACCGTTGAGACAGAAGCGGTAATTGAAGCCCTATTTACTCAATATATGAAGATGCTTCGTGAGTTCTACGATAACTTCACGACCAGGATTTCACCATTCTACAAGGGAGTCATATAAACGTGAAAAGAGGTGTGCGGCAGAGCGATACTATTTGGCACAAGTTTTTCAGTGCCGCTCTCGGGTTTATCATGCGTCTTTTAAATTGGGAAGACATGGGAGTGAAGGTTGGTGGCCGCTAATTACATCACCTCCGCTTTGCAGGCGACATCTGCTTATAACACCGCACATCGAGCAGGCGGAATGAATGCTGGCCGAGGAAATCCGGAGTTCCGAGCTTCGTCAACGAGCGAAGATCAGGGATGCCATTGATTACGCCAAGAAATCGAATATAAGGTGGGCCGCACACGTTATGCGTTATAGCGTGACCGTTGGACCGGGGCGGTTACTGTTTGGATCCCTCGGGACATCAACCAAACACCAGGACGGCCTTCAACGAGATGGTCAGACTTCTTCACGAAAGCCTGAACTAAATGAATGCTGGACTCATGTCCGTGAAGCGAAGACGATTCACTGGATCACTCTGGCTCGCAACAGGGACGAATGGAGACGTTACTGACGCCCGTTCGAGGAAGTCGATGATCAGGTGATACAGCTGATCCGCTATAAGGGTGATGTCATCAGCGTGGGGGACAGTGTTCGGTGGTCCATCCAGGAGACCGCATGTAATGACATCCAGTGCGAGTAGGAAGAGGAAGTGGTATCTCAGCCATGGCTCCATTGTTCTGTCAGGCCGTATGGAGTGTATAATGCTGTTCTGTCTGGAAATGGAGACAGCATCCGTCGTAGACCTGAGGCCAAACTGCTCTTGTACAAATTTATTCGTGGGAGTAGTCAACTGACATCTTGGAACACTCCCATTTTGCTAAAAAACGGGAACGACGGTGTTGCTCCTCCAGGCATCTGGGATTCTTCCTTCGATGATCATAGTGCTCAGAAATAGGGTGGGCTACTTATTTACGTGTTCTTCAAGTGTCCTCCACGTAACGATGGGGACATCATTCGGAACAGTTGCTTTTCCACCCTTTATCTTCCCAACTGCTCTACACCTTTTCCTATGTTCAGAATACGATGGGACTAGCCGTCGCTTTATTCGGGGGCTATTCTTACGGGGAATTTCTTCGCTCAGAAGCTTGTCGAAGTATTCTTTCTATATACGCTCAACCTCACTAGACTCTTCCTCAGGACTGCTCCTTCGCTGTTCTTGACGGACTTCACTACCAGATATCCCAAGAGGCCCCGTGCTGCGCTTTCGCCAGACGGATGCCAAATGTTTCTTACCCCCCACCATCAAACTTCTCTTATATGGCTTCATGATCTTTGCTCCCGCTACAGCAGCCTTGTCGCGAAAGAAATATGCATAACTATGACGATGTTACAAAAAAATGTCTAAGGTTAACCATCGGAACAACCGTAAATGCCAGTGCTTCGTCTGCGGTTACAGGAGTCTCCATCGTGAAGAAAGATTGTGGCCAGTACCCATTCGGTTCGCGCAGAAAGTCTGGTCTATCTATGATGATGAAGAAACTGTTATCGAGATAATCTGGTGTACCAGCGGACTGCGACTAGTAACTAGTTTCCCGAGAACCATTCGTGAGAGCTCTTTTTTGCCCAACAACATGACCTGAGAACCAAAGAATAGCACCCTCCTGATTGTGTGAGCTTCGAAAATAGAGCTGTTAGTATTGACAGCGCTAGTCTACATACTACTGCCAATACACTCATTTTAAGTTTAGGTATTACTACTTGTGTTTCGATGGATGACAATTTTGAAATGGCCATCAAGAAGAAAAGCATTCATTTGCGACGCCAAATATGCGCAAGCTGCCGAAGCCTTTTCTCTTGCATCTGAAAACAGGGGCAACGGTTTGCAGTGCAATCGGGGATATAACGTGTGACGTCTCTTTCAAACCTATTAGTATTAGGTTGATGCATAATTATTGGGGATTTTTTTCCAGCAGGTTTTTCTTTGAAGAACGATAGAAATATTTAGCAAAGACATGTTTAAATGTTTACTCTGGAACTTATCCACCATTTATGTCAGGCAAAGCTTAACATTTGCTAGCCTTAACAGTCTGATTCCACACGCATAAAGTTTTGATTATTGGAGGCGATCCACGCTTTGACAACGGCCATCACGTCATCCATTTCGTCGGAAGTTCTGTTCGTTAGCAAATTTTTCAACGGACAATTGAAGTGATAATCCATAGGAGGTCCTGTGCATGAATAGGGCGACCGTAGAAGCAGATTCCATCCTTACTCGGCATTGGCTGACTGTTCCATCGCCGAGAAGTTCGTTGAGACCACTTTATGACTGGTCAAAAGAAAAGAAGCCGCGAAAAAATCCGCAATAATTATGCATTAACCTAATAGTTCGCGAATTTGTTCCACGTTTTCATGCTGCAGGAAAAGTTTTTGGTGTCAAGAATAGTTATGCCTTTGTAAGTTCTTTTGAAAATGTTCGGCAATACCATGATTGAAACTGACAATTTCAACGGGTCGTGAATAAAGGCGATCTGCTGAGTTACTGTTTTCTTTGGGATGACTGTTTGGCACTATTTACCCTTTGCTGCCCCACTTAATCGAGAATGGGCCGGATTCCCATCGAATTTTTTTCAAGAAGACGAAACCGAGTAGAAACTTGCCTAGAGTGGTAATTTGACCCGCAGAACGCGAATATCTCATCCATTTGTCATGAGACTGCTTGGCGCCGGCGCAAGTTGGCGCTGGGTCACCAATCTTGCTGAAAACTTGCTCCTAAGTAGTGTGTTAAAACATGGATATCATATTTACAGGCATTTTCATGGCCACAATAAATGCGATGTTCGTGTTCCACAGGTCAAACNCACTATTTACCCTTTGCTGCCCCACTTAATCGAGAATGGGCCGGATTCCCATCGAATTTTTTTCAAGAAGACGAAACCGAGTAGAAACTTGCCTAGAGTGGTAATTTGACCCGCAGAACGCGAATATCTCATCCATTTGTCATGAGACTGCTTGGCGCCGGCGCAAGTTGGCGCTGGGTCACCAATCTTGCTGAAAACTTGCTCCTAAGTAGTGTGTTAAAACATGGATATCATATTTACAGGCATTTTCATGGCCACAATAAATGCGATGTTCGTGTTCCACAGGTCAAACTACTCCTTCAGGTAAGTTTCTAGTCGGTTTCATCTTCTTGAAAAAAATTCGATAGAAATCGAGCCCATTCTCGAAAAAGTGGGGCAGTAAAGGGTGAATAGTGCCGACTGTTTTGTTGAAAAGTTACGAAAAACTTTTAGGAGTCTTTTAGGAGTGCCAAGAAATCCTTAAAATTTTCTGACTTTCAGCTCTCGCTCACTTTCCGCTTGGAGTGAGATCAGACATGTAGCCGGTATCGAATATTATATCCCCAGAATTCATCCTTATTTCACAAAAAATTGCTCGCACCGCATCGATTTGTGAGTAGTCTCTGATTCCTAAGGGGTCTCTGCTCCAAAAACTAGATTGTGCCCATAAAGATTATGTAGAATTGATGGGCCAATGTGTGGTGGCTCACCGCAATGTATTGTCTCCCCAGAGGGAACGAATAAGCATTCATGTTGAACTAATTCTAGTAAACCGGAATCACAGTGAGTTAGTCTTCGGGAGATAGGGTTAGGTCTCACACTTAGAAAAAATTCGTGATGTCCCTGTCGGCCTCGTCTCCGTAATGGCTGAGATGCCTTCTCGACATCTGCGATTGCCACTCAGTTTTTTTAAAGCGCAGAAGAACGGCTAGAGTTAAGGCAGCAATATCTTGATATATATCTTTCGAGGGGAACGATACGTAACTCACAATAAGAGGTCTCTTTCTGAGGGGTCACTACCGCCCGACAGGGTAGGTGGCGGATATTTCTTGAACGAAGACGTTCTCGTGAAGTGACTTTTTTATTTATGTATTTCCTTGTCAAGCTGTTCTTCGAAGTCTCGTACTGTTTAAAGAGTTCTGGCGTTTCTCAAAACGATCTTCCTTCAAAGGTAGTCGCGCAACGAATTTACTGCTGAGCTTTTCAATTGTGGTGGATATGTGATTTCTCCAATTCCATAGAACTTCGTGAATCGATCGCCCAATATCGCTCCCACTTGTCAATGTGTCTCAAAGAAAATTTTACAATCAGATTTGGCGAAGTTGCAGGTCCTGGTAGTTCAACCTTCTTGTGAAGCGCTTTTTCGAGTAAGACGGTGATCCAATTGCAAAGGAATAATGTGTAGCATGCGCCTTGCAAAGGGATTTTACCAGTTTCAAACTTTATCACACCCCAACAGAATTTAGGCAGTAAAATCGATCCGTCCCGGTCGGAAAGACGCGTGTGATCCTTAGCCAGGAATTTTCATCTGATTCATCTTAAACAACTCGCCTGAAGGAGGAAGACTGAGAGTCGCCTTAAAAGGAATCGATCTGACAAAGGGTCAAGTCAAGAGGAGTGTTGTATTCGTCCTATATGCGCACGCTAGAGACGGTATAACTACAAGAATTATGCTGCTCAGCGTCAATGGCAAGCATCGTATCAAGTCATATCATCAGTATCAAGCGGTATTTGAACGGCCTTAATTGGGGATGCTCTATGAGCGCGATACCAGTGGTAAGAGAACGTTCGTGCTTACTGCTTGATTTCACTACCCAAGGCTTCAGTTTCCGTACCGTGAACCTGCTCATTGCTACGGACTTCAACATAGCTTGTAGCTGAGTCTTGTCCCTTAATTTCTATGCGTTGTACATTTTCTCTGCTGTGCAAATTACAGTACTCGCCTTAAGAACTCAAAAATTTACGAGATTTTACGCGAGTTCGCGTCTTTTTCGTCTTTACTTTATAAATCGCTTCAAAGTAAATTAATCGAGAAGAAAAAAAAACCGTTGAACACAGATTATTGAGCTTTACAAGATGATACCTTAAAATGTTGAAAATGCTTTATTTTGGATTGCACCATGCACTTGAGCTCCATCCAAAAAGTGATTGCATGCACATGGGGTGCAAGCTTTAGTGCTTGTAGGGGCTCATTGGTCCCCGAAGATGACCTGTTCAGAATTTGCTTTGG